CCAGCAGTGAGCTCACCCCCTCTGAGGCTTCAGAGGCATCTTCCTCAATCATTCCCTGGCACCTGGTGTACAATAGCTCAGGAGCTCTTCTAGATGCAATGAGATGGCAAGACATATCCTGAGGGGCAGAGTTTACTGTTCGTACGTGTTTCCCCAGTAAGATGCCCTGAGCTTTTGGTGAGGCTGCATGAGGTGACAGGTGCAGATTTTCAATGAGCCAGAGCACCAGGCCTTCCTGTTGGCTCTGGGCACTGCCCTCCCTCTCTGTGGAAGGCCTAAGGGGCCTCCACAGCGCTCTCCTGCCTCCCTTAGAGCCACGTCTATGCAGTGGCCTGAGTCACACGGGACAGATGACCTATACTCTTTAGTGCTGACATAGTCAGCAAAATGACCCTGGAGAGCAAACTGCCTCCGGTCTCTGAAATCCAGATGGCCTGCGGAGAATCACCTCTCTTCATTCTTACACACTGACTTTTCCAACTTTTGCATCCATTGTATTTCCTCTAAGGAAGTTCAGTAAACCTTCTATCTCAGTGGGGCTAACAGTTGTGTTTGAAAAATGATGCCCTACAGAATGAGGGCTTTAATTTCAGTCTCAGCTGTGACCCACGAGATAACCAGGGCTAGAGTATGAAAAAGCAAACTGCAGGATCGCTTAAGCCCAGGAGTTTGAGACCAGCCTGGGCAATGTGGTGAGACCCCATCTCTACAGAAAATTTAAAAGTTAGCTGGGTGTGGTGGTGCATGCCTGTAGTCCCAGCTACTCGGAAGTCTGAGGCAGGAGGATCACTTAAGCCCAGGAGGTGGAGGCTGCAGTAAACTGTGATCACACCACTCCACTCCAGCCTTGGCAACAGGGTAAGAATAAAAAAAGAGCAGACTGCCCAGAACCCCATTGCGTGTGATGTGAGTTGATGTGCCTGTGTTGTGTGGGTGTTATGCACACACAGGATTTCCACCACGCCCCCACATCTCTGCTGTTGTTTTCATCACAACACTGTCTGGACCCAGTATGAAGTTGAATGCAACACTGACTGGCTCCCACTCCTAGCACAAGGGAATAATTTTTAAAGAGTGGGAGTAAAACCACTGAAAACCTAAAAGCTGCTCTGGGCCGGGTGAGGTGGCTCACACCTATAATCCTAGCACTTTGGGAGACAGAGGCAGGGGGTTGGTGAGGTCAGGAGATCAAGACCATCTGGCTAACACAGTGAAACCCTGTCTCTACTAAAAATACAAAAAATTAGCCGGGCGTGGTGGCAGTCACCTGTAGTGGCGCTACTCGGGAAGCTGAGGCAGGAGAATTGCTTGAACCCAGGAGACAGAGGTTGTAATGACCTGAGATTGCACCACTGCACTCCAGCCTGGGCAATGGAGCAAGACTTGGTCTCAAAAAAACAAAAACAAAAAAAAGCTGTTCTGAATGTGATTCTATAGACCCCACAGGGAGGAAACCAAAAACAAACCCCATCAGCACCCCCAGTTTTTAGGAAACCATAATGACATGCCAAGCCCTAGGGGTGCAGACCAGAACTGGGGGCCCGGGATGGGTAAGCTGGAGAAGGAACCAATGAGAAGCCCAGGACACCTGTGAGTGACCGTTGCTGGCATCCCAAATGCTGTTTTGTCATCAAAATTGTAGAAAAGAAAAAGAGCATTTAATGAAGTCAGCAGACACTGTAGCCTCTCCCACCTGCTCCCCCCATCCAGTCTCTGGACTGGGCCACCAATTCTCACTCCTTCCTTTTCTGCCAGCTCTCAGCTTCCTGAGCTCAGAGCTCCCTGGTCAGGTTTGGGTTTTATTTTGTTTTCCTGGCAAACTGAGCAGTGCTGGGAGCCTCTTGAACCAGTGAGGAAGGACTCCCTGCTGGAGAAAGTCATCAGTGGCCACAGGGCGTGGACGGATGGGGTGGCCACGTGCCCCAGGGACCCTGCTGTGCCCTGCTAATGGTCTGCCACTGCCTCAGGTACCCTGCACCCTGGAGAGACCCTCATCTGTGCTGGCTCACTTTCTGTATTATTTCTCTAGCTCTATTACTGGAGGTACTTTTAAAAGCATTTCCATCTGTAGGTTGTCCTGATGGAAGGCAAGCAGCACTGGGGATGGAGTGGGTATCCAGAGAAAACCTGGGATGGCCAGTTACATCTGAATTCCAGAACAAGAATTTTCAGATTCAGATTTAGCTGGGTGTCTTGTATTTTTATAGCTTAAAAAAAAGCAAAAAGCAAGAGACCTCACTTGACATTGAAGTCCCTGGGTTCTGGGTTGGTGGTTCTGTCCTGGTGTCCGACCTGAGCACGCCCCAGCCCTGTGAAGGCAGCCAGCCGAGGCCAGAGCAGAGGAGCTGGAGCGGAACCAGCACCAGGATCCCCTCAGCTGTTACCGGTGGCCAATGAAGGGTAAAGAGAGAAAAGGAAAAGCCAGTGGGATTATCCCTCCCAGATAATTGCCAACTCTACTGTCCATTTGAGAAGTTGGAGCCAAATGCCTGGCAGGGCTGTTTCCTCCTCTCTGGTCTGTGGTGGGCAGCAGGAGTCTTTGGAGCTGGGGCTGCAGCCCATGGGATGGATGGGTGACCCTTGTAACTTTCTGTAAAATTGAGAGGGCTGTGGGGCATTGACAAGCACACCGTGGCGGGGACACGGGGGACTCAGACACATCCCCCCTGGACAACAGCTCTCTCAGCCCCTGAGTTTGCACATGGGCCAGAAGTGCAGCTATGTCCAGGCTGGAGTGGTGTCTAATGGTGTGGGTTTGCAGGGCCCCTCAGACATGGATTGCAAAGACCCAGCAAGTCCACTTAGGTATTCCTGTTAATGCTTTTCTGCATCTGATGGGGAGATTATATCCTGTCATGGTGTTTCTGAATTGGGAGCATTGCAGGGGAGTCAGAAAGTCCCAGAGAGGGACAGCTGTCAGCAGCCCTGCGTGGCAGTGTCCTGGGGCTGCCCAAGCTAATGTGGTAGCAGCCCTCATTTAGGAAAACGTCCTGAGTCCGCCAGGTACACACTGTGCCTCTGGTGCATGCATGAGTGTCACGTGTTGCACTCATGAGTGCTGTTCCTCATTGCTGCCGCAGTGTGAGTGCCCCTCACTATCCTCACTATTCTCGCAGAGAGCCTGGGGAGCAAGGCACACCACTTCCTCCACATTTGGGTTTTGCATCACGAGTGGCAAGAGTCTGAAGAGAAAGTATTTATCTAAACATCCAACCCCTTTTGGTGCCTGGGTTCAGTTAGTGACAATTGGAGAGAGTTTGGATTACAAGGATGTGTTTTGTGTGACTGCAAAACAAGTTACCACATGTTAGGTGGTTCAAAAGGGCAGAAACTTATTCTCTCACAGCTCTGGAGGCCAAGAGTCCAAACTCAAGGCATCAGCAGGGTCCTGCTCCTCCTGAAGGGTCCCGGGAAGATCCTTCCTGCCTCTTCCAGCTTCTGGTGGCAGGCAACAACTCTTGGCATTTTTTGCTTATAGACACATTACTCCAGTGTCTGTCCCCATCTTCACCGGGTGTTCCCCCTATGTGTCCTGTGTCCTAATGTCCCTCTTCTCATGATTTCCCTCCACTCATCAAATTAGGACCCTCCCTAATCCAGTAGGACCTTGTCATAATGAATTGCATGTGCAAAGACTATTTCCAAATAAGGTCAGGTTCACAGGTGTCAGGGTGGTGAGAGGGAGGGTGGGGTCAGCTGGTGGGTTGTTCAGAGCAGGCCGCCTCCCGAGATTCCACCCTTCTCTGGGCTCACCACACAACATTCAGCCTTGAGCATGTCCTTTGGGGGGACACAGTTCAACCCACAGCAAAGGGGCTCTCGTACAGCAAAACTGTGGCTCTGCCCGGGGAGCAGGATGGTGCTGCGGTAGGTGCGGGTGCCTCACAGTGAGCAGAACACCAGAAGTTCCATGCACATCCATCCTTGGATGAGGCTTCATGGCTGCATCTTCAGCCATCTTCTGGTCACAGCTTAGCAGGTTCCTGTTCCTTATCCCTCATCTGAGTATCCCAAGAAGAGAGACCAGATGCTCAGAGGCTCAGCACCCAGATGAGCGGGAGGGTTGCCGAAGCTTTACAGGGTGTCTGCCTGGAGCAGGAGGACTCTTCTCAGTCTCAGATTTGTCTCCTGTATGGAAACGTCCCCTCCACACTTACATATCAACAGAAATAGACTGAAGGAAGAGGCAAGCCTTGCGCTGGGTCTGGAGTAGCAAATAGCCACATCTTAAAGTAGACGGCAGGTCTTGGGGTCTCCCAATCCCATGTTTAGATTCCAGCAAGACCTGAACTGCCGCCTCCTGGTCTGCCTATCCTCCCTGTTCCACTGAATCCTTATATGGGTCTCATGAGCGCCTGGCTGTGACTTGGTCAGAATTGAGGGATCAGAGCTGGATGGCAAAAGTGTATCTGTTGCTTAGGGCAACTGAAACATCACTGCACCTCAAGGCAATAGGCCAGGCAGCCATCCTACTTGGGGCCATGGGGATTCCAGCCTGAGGTGTGAGTCAGGCACACTGGGGGTGGCCTAGCATTAGGAGGCATCAGTGAGGGGCATAGTGAGGCTGCCACAGCCTGGGTGGCAGGGGATGAGAAGGAGGGTGTGGTTAGCTGATGGGTGGTTCAGAGCAGGCTGCCTCCCGAGATTCTACCCTGCTCTGGGCTCACCACACAGCATGCAGCTGCTCACTGTCTGCATCTGTCTCCACCCTCTGGCCCTGGTCTTGGTGCTCATTTGAGGATTTGAGGTGGGCAGGGGACAAAATGGCCGTGTCCCCACACACATGCACACAAAAACCAGGGTTCTGAGAGTGACTCCGCAGCTCTGTGCTGTGCCCTGGGAGCTGCCTGTGTTCCTCATGACGAATCTGACACCAGTCACTGGAACCCACGACTTTTTTCTGTGCAGCTGGCTAGCTAAATGGGGTGGAGGTGAGCCCTGCTGCAGGCTGGCTGGGTTGACACCCGCAGCATGGCTGAGTTAGCGTGATGTCTTTGTAGCCTCCGAGGGACGAAAGCCTGAACGGCCTTCTTCAGGGATACAGAATCTACTACCGGGAGCTGGAGTACGAGGCTGGGTCAGGCACCGAGGCCAAGATGCTCAAAAGCCCTATAGCTTTACGCGCTGAGCTCACAGGTAAGACTGTCCCCGCTGTCCTGACGCAGGGAAGGAGGTTCCCAGGGGACCCTCAGCATCTGCTCAGTGCACATCATGGTGGGAAATGCCGCTAAGAGGAGGCTAAGAGGAGAGGCAGCCCTGCCCTCGGGAACAGGAAGCAGGCGGGTTTACCCTACCAGGGACATGCAGAGTGTAGGTGTGCAGCAGGTGGGTGCAGCTGCAGAGGCACAGGGGCCTTGTCTGCCACAGACTGTGTTAAGGGGAAAGCAGTTGCCAGGCCTCCAGGGAGTGCACGCTCCCGGCCTCAGTGGGAGAGGACTTTGGGGCCTGAGATGGAGGCAGGGAGCCAGTGGAAATCTGTTGTAAAACCCACCAAATCCAGGGACAGGCCCCACCTGTCTGTACTAGGCACAGCCTCAGCATGGAGCCCACGGTGCTCACCCCCGGGCTGATCCCAGCTCAGCCAGTACTGTGCCATGATCGTGGTTCTGATGATGGCCCAGCTGCCTTCAAGGCAACTTCTGGAACCCTAGGGAAGGAAGACTGCCCACTCTCACCTCACCTCTCCTCTCTTGGATGGAGGTTTGAGGGGGTTCATTTCCTGGCACCCACCAAATGGTGTCACAAAAATACTCTGTCTCTTGACATCCTCGTGCTGGGGACAGAGTGAGGGAACAGCTCCAGAACATGCCACGTGGATGGCGCCCTCCCACTTTCTGCCATCCCCATCAGGGCTCCCTGGCTCACTTGCCATCGCCAACCTCGGGGCCTTCCACACACCCGGTTCCCACCTTAAGGCCCTGCCTGCAGATGGCAGCTCCTGTGCTGACACAGCTTGCCCCCAGCACAGGCCAGGTGTGGTGCTGGTGAATGTTGAAGACGGGAAAGTGCACCACTGTGGTCTGCACTCTCGGCACACGCCGAAGGTGACCCTTGATGACCACCAGACAGTTAGCATCTCCCTGGTCTTTGTCGCAAAATTAAAGCACAGCACAATAGAAGGCCCCAGGATGTGGCTGGGCTTCTGCACCTGGTCACATAGCTCTCTCTCTCTGGTGGTTTGCTGGGCTTGTCCAGCTGACCAGGAGAAAAGGCATCCTGCCACTTGGTGCTAAGTCATGCCAAAAACTAATGTGTTTCACAGAATCAGAGTGGTGAAGGCAGCCCTCCTGTCTGGGACTGGGGTGCCTTGTTGTTTATGAGGAGGTGCAGCCCCACTGGGAGCGGGTGGAAAGCTTGGGTGGCAGCGGGGTCTTTATTGCCCTGGGAGGTGTAGCGTGGAAGCTGGCTGGCATCCCAGTGAGACGCCCATCTCCCCTGTTCCCACCACACATCCCCTGTAATGACCACGTCCCTGCATGCTAACCACCTTTCTGCTTTGCTTACCCCAATAGCCCAAAGCAGCTTCAAGACAGTGAACAGCAGCTCCACATCGACGATGTGTGAATTAACACGTAAGTGTGCGCTCTCCGCGGAAGCCCATGCCACAAAGTGCACACACTACGCCCGGAGCGCACACACTGGCCTCTCAGTACAAGAGAAAGCCAGTCTGGATTAACGGCTCCAAGTTTCTGGAATCGCCTCTCAAATGCTGTATCTCCACATACCAAACCACCAGGAAGACAGGAAAGGAAGCCTCTAGAAACAGAGGCCAGGGAAATTTACTAATATCTGGTCTTCAGGTTTGAGACAGAGAAGAAAGCCAGATAGAACTGGATCTCCTCTCCCACTGCATTCTTTCTCTTTAAAAAACAAAAAAAAACCTCTTTTTTTTTTTTCTTTTTTAAGAGACAGAGTTGCCCAGGCTGGAGTGCAGTGGCGTGATCATGGCTCACTGCAGCCTTGAACTCACGGCTCACTGCAGCCTTGAACTCCCAGCTCAAGTGATCCTCCTGCTTCAGCCCCCCTTAAGTAGCTGGGACTACAGGCTCATGCCACCATGCCTGGCTAATTTTTTTTTTGAGACAGGATCTTGCTGTGTTGTACAAGCTGGTCTTGAATGCCTGGACTCAAGCAATCCCTTGTCTCAGCCTCCCAAGATGCTAGGGTTATAGGCATGAGCCACTGCACCCCCCCAGCCTCTTTCTTTTCTTATTGTGATAAAATACACATAGCAGAAAACACACTCTCTTAACCATTTGTAAGTATACAGTTCAGTGACATTAAGCACATTCACACCATTATGCAGCCATAACCATCATTCTCCAGAACTTTCTCATCTTCCCAAACCGTAACTCTGTCCCCATTAAATACTAACTCCTTACAGCCCCTCCCCAACGGCACCCACCATTCAACTTTCTGGCTCAATGGATTTGACAATTTGGGGACCCCATGTGGAATCATGTCATATTTGTCTTTTTGTGGCTGGGATATTTCAAGAGCAACATCTTCAGGGTCCATGCATGTCAGAGCAGATGTTAGAATTTCCTTCCTTTTCAAGACTGAATAATATTCACTTGAATGATAGACCACATTTTGTTAATCCACTCACCCTCCTAGGGAGGAGTTTCAAAATCCAACTGCAGGGCTAGATGTGGAACCATAATGTTATTCACTAAAACGCAGGGAACTCGGCTGATTTGGGAAGTGGAGGAGACAGGAGGGAGAGGCTGACCCTCCCTGAGCCTCTGCTGTATTTGGGCATTCTGCAGGAGTGGGGATGCTTTGCAGGGCAGCACACCTCCAGCGTGCTGAGATACTGACTCCACAGCATGGGCAAACCCTGTAAGCATCTCTTTGAAGGCAGCACTCCACGGGGAGGGGCTGAGTGACAGAAGCTCTGCTGGGCTGGTAGCTGGCAGGAGGCATGATTTGCAGGCCCACGCATACCACCATCCACACCAGCACACAGGTGCCAGGCACACACGCAGTGCCTCAGAAAAACCAAGCCACCACGATGCAGTGTTCACCACTGGAAGAACCTTCCAGAATGTTTTGGCTTAAAGGTCAGTTGCTCTCCCACTGTCACTAAGCGCAGAGCTGGTGCTTGGCCGCCTACCCTGAGTAGTTCTCCGTGTGCAGCAGGCCACACCCTTTCTTTCCCAGGACATGGCCACTAAGGTCTCAGAGGCCTCTGGTTACCAATGTCTTTCTACACTCTATTTTAAATGCCAGAGTCTTACTCCATCTGTTCATAATTTCAAGGAGAGATTCTGAACCAAAAGGCAGGCCCAGGTTATGTTTTTTATTCTAAATCAGGGATCTCCAGGCTGGGCGTGGTGGGTCACACCTGTAATCTCAGCACTTTGGGAGGCTAAAGCAGGTGGATCACAAGGTCAGGAGATCAAGACCATCCTGTCTAACATGGTGAAAGCCCGTCTCTACTAAAATACAAAAAAAAACCATTAGTGGCTGGGCGCGGTGGCTCAAGCCTGTAATCCCAGCACTTTGGGAGGCCGAGGCGGGTGGATCACGAGGTCAAGATATCGAGACTATCCTGGTCAACATGGTGAAACCCCGTTTCTACTAAAGATACAAAAAATTAGCTGGGCATGGTGGCGCGTACCTATAATCCCAGCTACTCAGGAGGCTGAGGCAGGAGAATTGTCTGAACCCAGGAGGTGGAGGTTGCGGTAAGCCGAGATCACGCCGTTGCACTCCAGCCTGGGTAACAAGAGCGAAACTCCGTCTCAAAAAAAAAACCATTAGCTAGGCATGGTGGTGCACATCTGTGGTCCCAGCTACTTGAGAAGCTGAGGCAAGAGAATTGCTTGAACCCGGGAGGTGGAGGTTGCAGTGACCTGAGATTGCACCACTGCACTTCAGCCTGGCGACAGAGTGAGACTCCTTCTCAAAAAATATCAGGGGTCCCAACCATTTTGACACCAGGGACTGGTTTTGTGGAAGACAACAGACCAACTGGTGGGGGAATGGATTTGGGATGATTCAAGTGTATTACATTTATTGTGTACTTTATATCTATTATTATTACATTGTAATATGTAATGGAATAATTCTACAACTCACCATCATGTACAATCAGTGGGAGCCCTGAGTCTGTTTTCCTGCAACTAGACAGTCCCATCTGGGGGTGATGGAAGACAGTGACAGATCATCAGGCATTAGATTCTCATGAGAGTGCAAACCCTATTGTGAATTGTACATTCGAGGGATCTAGGTTGTGCAAGGCATAAGGAGTGTACAACCCGGATCCCTCACATGTGCAGTTCCCAATAGGGTTGACACTCCTGTGAAAATCTAATGCCTCTGCTGATCTGACAGGTGGCAGAGCTCAGGCGGTAATTCGAGGGATGGGGAGCAGTTGTAAATACAGATGAAGCTTTTCTCACTCACCCACCGCCGCTCATCTCCTGGTTTGCAACCTGGTTCTTAACAGGTCATGGTTAGTGGCCCAGGGGTTGGGACCCCTGTTTTAAATCCTTTACTTTAGAGGAGGGAGCTCTATGCTGCCTTTTTTTTTTTTTTTTTTTTTTTTTTTTTGAGATGGAGTTTCACTCTTGTTGCCCAGGCTGGAGCGCGATGGTGTGATCTTGGCTCACTGCAACCTCCACCTCCTGGGTTTAAGCAATTGTCCTGCCTCAGCCTCCCAAGTAGCTGGGATTAAGGCACCTGCCACCACACTCACCTAATTTTTTGTATTTTTAGTAGAGACAGAGTTTCTCCATATTGGTCAGGCTGGTCTCAAAGTCCTGACCTCAGGTGATCCACCTGCCTCTGCCTCCCAAAGTGCTGGGATTACAGACATGAGCCTCTGAGCCCAGCCTCCATGCTGCCTTTTATCTGAACACAGGATAGAATGAGTGTATCTTTTGCTTAATGGTGGTGGGTGCATCATTAATAGGGAGGAAAGGAGGAGAGTGCCCCATCAAAGAGGATGCAGGAATGTCACAGACTTCCAACAATCCCCCTCCTCTCCTTGGAGGGTGCTGCTTCCTTCAGTGTGGTTCATAGGGAAAGCTTTCTAGGAACAGAAGGTGGTCCTGGTGGAAGCTAATCCCCATTTCCTTTAACCCTGCAGATTTAAAGAAGTACCGGCGTTATGAAGTGATAATGACTGCTTATAACATCATCGGCGAGAGCCCAGCCAGCACACCGGTGGAAGTCTTTGTTGGCGAGGCCGGTAAGCTCCGTGCACCCCCAACCCCACAGCCAGCAAGGGCCATAGCGGTGGGGACAACCAGGTGTGCTGTGGCCAAGCCCCTCAGATGCCCAGCAGTGTTCTTCCTCCTTGAACACATTGCTACTGGGGCCGAGGTCTCCATGCCACTGGCTGGAAAAATGGGCTCCGCTGCAAGCTGGAATGTCCTGACAGCTTAAGGCAATGGTCAGGTCTTGCTTTTGAGACCCAAAGGGTTTGTTCAGTAACTGGGGCCATCATATTTAGTGTGGCTTTGCTCTACGAGAGCAGTATTAACTCAGTGGGGATCTGGGTGTGTGGGAAATGGAACCTCGTTATCTGGAGGGGCAGATGTCTGCCTCGGTCCTTCCATGGGCTTTGGCAGGGCCCTGGTGACTGGAACCAGCCTGATACCCTGGTGACAGCCCATTCTCTAGGTCTCGGAAAGTCCAGTGGACCATTGTCTCCACCCCTTTTAGTTAAGATGTGACTCTTAGGTCTGATTCATGGGACCCTGCCTTCTGTAGGGCTCACAGTGAGAATCAACATCGTTTTTAGATCACATTCTGACTATCCCTCTTCGGGCCCAGCGTGCCTCAAGTAATGAGAGCAACACCCTCCCTTCAGACAAGGAAACTGCAGAACCTCCACCTCCTCGCTGGCTGGTGATTGTAAAAAGTTCCCTGACTTCACATAGAGCCTGGTGTTTCTGCTCAGTGCTGCTGCTGCAGATTTAGAAGGGTGTTGCTTCAGGCCTGGAATAATTGGAGTGTCCCTGAGGCTCAGCTTTGCAGGAGGGGCTGTACAGCAGGAGCAGGCAGGGGGCAGCTCGGACTTGGTGGGGACAGAGGAGGGAAACACATCAGGTAACCTTTTGCAATTGGGAAAGGATATTGTTATAAACCAATCAATAGCGCTAAGGGTCTAGCCCGGAGGATTTTTTCTGGAATGGTCAAGCAGCATTTGCATACAAATGAGGATGCAGTTGCAGTGGGGCACCAAGAGTATATGGCATTTCTGCCTCTCCCTGCACAAAGATTGTTCGAGGGGTCACTATGAGCCACCGAGTGGTGGCTAGGCATTTCCTCAGGGAGGGGTCTGGCTATAGAAAGAGCCTGTTGAGGGCCATGGGCAGCTGCCGAGGGTTCTATCAGGGAGGGGCATTAGGGTGTTGTCAGCAAAGGGTGGGGGCCACGGCAGACAGTGGCCACGGCAGATTCTGTGCTCTCTGCTAGTATTCAGGTGACTGGGCCCCAGGGGGCCCCCCAAGGTTGCGGGGGTGGGTAGGTCAGCTTGTGGCCCCAGGGGGAGCACAGGACAGGAAGGCCAGGAGCCTCAGTGTCTGAACTGCAAGCAGCAGGTGTGGGTGTTGATGCCCTGCCTGAGGGTCCGCCTGCACCTGGGGGTGGGATGCCAGGATCCAGGGGGCTCAGGGCACCTGAGCAGGCCCTGAGTATCAGGGACTGAGGCAGAAGTCCAGAGAGAGAGCTTCAGCAAGCAGCAGGGAAACTAGGGGTGGTACGGGAAACTCGGGAGTCGTGCTGGGGGCAAGCCAAGCCACAGTGGGATGGGGTGCTGCACCTGGCTCCAGGTCTGAGGTTTGCGCTGTTTGTGTCTTACTTCCTTCTCATACCACTGTAAAGTGACTGGATAATTTATAAGAAAAGACATTTACTTGGCTCACAGTTCTCCAGGCTGAACAGGAAGCATCGTGGCTTCTGCTTCTGGGGAAGCCTCAGGAAGCTTCCAATCAGGGTGGAAGCTGAAGAGGGAGCAGGCGTCTCACATGGTGAAAACAGGAGCAAGAGAGAGCAGTGTGGGGGGTGCTACACACATTTAAACAACTAGATCTCATGAGAACTCAGCCATTCATGAGAAACCCACCCCTGTGTCCCCGTCATCGCCCACCAGGCCCCACCTCCGTGATGGGGATTATAGCTCAATATGAGATTTGGGCAGGGACACATCCAGGCCATATGAGTCTGTCATTGTGTAAAGATGCGTATAACATTTAAACTGTTCTACGTGTACAGTTCAGCTGCATTCAGAATGTCGGGCAGCCATCGCCAACGTCCATCTCTGGAACTGCCTCTTCTTCCCAAACAGAAATCCATACCTATTAAGCAGGCCCCCTTTTCCCTCTTTTCCCATCCTGGGCAACCTCTCACTTACTCTCTGTCACCGCAAGTTCACCTGTTCCAGATACTTCGTACAAATGGAGTAATTTGATGCTTGTCTTTTTGTGTCTAAATCCTTGCACTCAGCGTGAGGTTTTTGAGGTTCACCCACGTTGTAGCAGACGTCGGAATTTCCTTCCTTTTCATGGCTGAGTAATATTCCATTGCATGCATTTGCCACATTTGGTGTGTCCACTCCATGGATGGACACTCAAGGGGCTTTCCCTTTTTGGACTTTTGAATGTGCTACTGTGAGTATGGGGGAGTGAGGGACTTTTCAGCAGTGCAGATCTGAGACAGCCCAGGTGTGGGAGGCAGCTGCAGAGGCTGTAGGTGGGCCTGGCCTCTGAGGTTGGCATAACAGTGTGATGTGGCTTCTCCCTCCCCTCCCCACGTGGGCATCCCTGTTCCAGCCCTCCCTTCCAGAGGCCTGCCCTCCTTCTCTGCCTCCTCCTCAATACACCCATGCCCACCTCTGCCCAGAGGCCTGAGTTCTGCCACCTGCACCCTTTGGAGTCCCACAGAAGGGTAAGGAAAGCCTACTTGCTGTGCCCAGGCCACCAAAGCCTTTTCCATGCACACACAAGCTCCCCCTGGACACGCTGCACTGCTCACAGAGCTTGAAGGCAGGTGCTGAGAGTCACAGGGGAGCTGGTGCCTACAGTGTCACACCCACCCAGAGTGCCCTGTGCAGCCTCTCCAGTTTAACCTGACCGAGGCCTGAAGCACGCTTTATGCTTTTATCCCCTGAGGAGCAGCTGCTGTTGCCCCAGGACACCCTCCAGGGCTTTGTCTCTTGGGAGCCCTCCCTGTCCCTGTCACTCTAGGCAGGGCCCAGATTTCTCCACTGCGCTCCTATCCTGGGTGCCTTGTGCACGTCTCTGCCTTCCCCCCAGCAGTGGGGCTGTCTTCTCTCTAATGCTGCTCCTCCCTATTAGACCATGCTTGCTTCATCCTAAACCGCTCCTCGCCCCCAGGGTTATTGCCACAGGGGCTCAAAAATACCTTTGTCATTTGGGCAAATTGAGGTTCCCAGACTTCCACATTAGGATACAGGGCAGGAGTGCAGCTGGGGAAACCCTATGCCAAGGGACATGCCCTGGAGACAGGGCCTCTCAAATGCGCTGAGATGTAGGAAGGTGGAATCAGTGTCTCATAGCAGGGCTGCAGGGAAGGCTAATCAGAAGCTCCTCATCCTGAGGAAGGAGAGGGAGAAGGAATGGGTGGCCTCTGTTCCCATAATGACCAATGACACTGTCACCATCTGCCGCATAGGCACTCATGTCCTGGGCTGCTCTTTCCATGAGGCTCCTTCTGGAGGCTCCTCGCAGTGGGGAGGGAGAGGCAGAGCTGGTGAGTGTGTACAGGCTGGTGGAGGCTGCCACCACCCTGGGAGGGGAGGCAGAGGCAGGGCTGGTGAGTGTGTACAGGCTGGTGGAGGCTGCCACCACCCTGGGAGGGGAGGCAGAGGCAGGGCTGGTGAGTGTGTACAGGCTGGCAGAGGCTGTGCAGCCACTTTACAGCCCTGGCACGTGGGAGGAGAGGCAGGGCTGGTGAAGGTACACAGGCTGGCAGAGGCTGTGTGGCTACTTTAGGACCTTGGCATGGGGGAGCAGTGCTAGGAGCTAGGGTTTACACAAGGGGATGTAACCACCCAGTGGGATCCTCCTACCTGTCACACAGACAAAACCCATTCACTGAGCCCAAGGTATTGCAGTAAAGAGAGAGTGTAATTAGGGCCCAGCCCTGTGGGGGAACCAGAGTTATCACTGGAGTTGGTCTCCCTGAGGGCTCAGAGGTTAGTTATTTCTAGGATAGTTTGGTGGGCAGGGGGCTAGGCAGTAGGTGCTGCTGATTGGCTGAGGATGACATCCTGGGGCATGGAAAATGGTCCTCGTGTGCTGAGTCAGCCTCTGAGTGGTGTGCTGAGTCAGCCTCTGAGTGGTGTGCTGAGTCAGCCTCTGAGTGGGGCCACAGGATTGCTTGAGTCTTGAGTCCAGGTGGGGTCAGTCCATTTTCAGAAGGCCAGAGTCTGAAAAGCATCTCCAAAGATCAATCTTAGTTTGTATAATAGTGATGTTATCTATAGGAGCAACTGGGGAAGTCACAAATTGTGTGACCTCTGGCCATGTGACTCCTAAACAGTGAGGGATTATACAAACTACACTTAGGGGCCAGGCTTGGTGCTTATGGCTGTAATCCCAGCACTGTGGGAGGCCAAGGTGGGTGGATCACAAGGTCAGGAGTTCAAGACCAGTGTGGCCAACATGGGTGAAACCCCGCCTCTACTAAAAATGCAAAAAATTAGCCGGGCATGGTGATGCACACCCGTAATCCCAGCTACTGGGAAGGCGAGGCAGGAGGAATTGCTTAAACTGGGACCCAGGAGGCAGAGGTTGTAGTGAGCCGAGCTCACACCTCTGTACTCCAGCCTGGTCAACAGAGTGAAACTGTCTCAAAAAAAAAAAGAAAGAAAGAAACTATGCTTACATTTTAGCAGAGTTCAGCCTTCTCCCATACTCCTAATCTCACAGCCTTTTGTTAGTTTTACAAAGGCAGTTTCCACCCCCAAAGGAGGAGGGAGATTGGATTTAGGGAAGGACCATTATCAGCCTTGCTTTAAGTTAAACTAAAAACTAAATTCCTAGACACAGCCCCTGCACCCAGGTCTCTGCTCCAGCCCACCCATGTGACGCAGCTTGGCTCCCAGTGTCCTGCGCTGGGCCTGGCAGTGCTGCCCCTGCAGGCAGACATCTCAGCTGTTGTTCAGCCTCAGCACATTTCTCCAGGCTCTGTGTTTACACTGCAGAGAGTTTTCTGGAATGG